TATTAACCGCGTACTCGTCGTACAGTGGTTGTAGCTGCCGCGGTTTCGTTCACCGATGATTTGGGGGGATGGCATTATATCCTGTCTAGTTACCTGTTAATCACACTGCTGATCAGCCATTCGTAGTCCGGATGCTGTGGGTTCTAATCTTTCTGAAGATTCTGGGGGTGAGTTCCCATAAGGAAAAAAACAGATGTACATTGATGTCTGGATTTTCCGCATAGGTGGAATTCAGCTACAGAATGAAATGTAAGTTGAAGTTTCCAAATCTCCTCATGTTGTCAACAGGGAAATTTCTGTCCGTTCCAAACATTCAACAACTGAATTCTGTTTTGATTGAAAATCATTCTTGGAAAGGTGAACATGTTGAATCACCTTCTGCCCTAAAAATGTCCGGGTGTAACAGTTATGGTAGAATGGAAGGATCAGAGCGAGAAACATCTAAGTTGGCGAAAGATGTCAGCAACAAACATACATGTTCCTACAAATACATTCATTTGCACAGAAGACTCCGCTGAATCTCTCCTTTATCATATTCTTCAACCGAATGTGCTGCGCAAAAGCCGCCGCATGTTTCAGTTCATACGATATTGGAAGTATCGCAGAATATTTACATATAGGAAACCACTGACGAGGTTGATAAAAACTCAGGGACTGTGCTTACATGATGAACCCCAAGAAGGTGAAAACGGTCGTGGTCTGTCAGAGTTTCCAGCAACCCCGCGAAAATAGACGTTCCTACGCGAGGGATGCAAATGACTTGTTGTCCAACGGGTTAACCAATCATTCCGTATCCATGTTTGCTATGCCGAGCGACGAATCACCTATCGGGGCTTCCCACCAAGTAATGCTTGTCAAGTGCTGGAGCCCAAATCTCGGCACAGGGACGAGACTCAGGTCAAGTATTTTCTTTTAGGCAGAGTAACCATGCTAGAACACTATGAACTGTTGAAAAGAAAACGATTTGTGTATACAAACGATGGGTGTATTTCCGTTAGAAGTACCGTACGAAGGGTGGTCGAGGCTCACTAACAACCCATTGTTGGTTTCACTCTATTTGGGATTGATTACATAACTAGGGGTAACCGAATTTCAATTAACACCTTTTCTTGTCTGGATGCCAAAGTTCAGATATGTTGAATAAATCACGACAGCAACTAATTTTGATAAATGAGTGGGTTTTCGAAATATGTACAATTTCGGAATCACGTCTAAACTATGAGCACCAGACAGAACAAAATTACTGGTGAGTTGTTGGCCATTTTCAGTCAATGCATCCACTGTAGGAATAAAAAACAATCCACCTTGAGGGTCGAGCCAAATGGATTGCGAATTGGTCGTTGAGGATCTCCATGCGCAACAGATCCATTCAACATCAGGTTGGCACCATCTCGCTGTGTGAGGTGATGATTCACTCAACTCTGACTAAAGCCAAATGGATTGCGAATCGGTCATTGAGGATCTCCATGCACAACAGATCCATTCAACATGAGGTTGGCATCATCTCGCTGCGTGAGGTGATGATTCACTCAACTCTGACTATAATTCTAACGTCGAAGTTGCTGACAAGAAGACCCAAGAGCAAATTGATCGTAGGGGAACTACCTACAAAAGAAAAGGCTTCGCACCGGTTCGATAGATGCTCTTTCATACGAGGACCATTGTACTTTCATCCTAACTAGCACTAAACAGAAGAAAACGAATCAGGAAGCTCCCTGCCAGGAGCCTGTTAACCTGTGCGGTCATCGCAAGAGCGGAGACCGGTCCATCCCCTCCTGGGGCACTTCATCCCTGGAGAGTGGACCTCAGGACATTATGTTCCCAAAACGCTATAAGCCGAGATAATGCATTCCTGAAACCAATTACCTCGTCTCGACACTACAGGTAAAAGATAGTTGCCTAAGTTCCCTTTTTCCGTTGGTAGTTTCGTAAATAGTACACCTGCAAAAATTCTGTACACGCACGTGAAGCACAACTGCATTTCATTTTATTACTATGGCTAATAACCGATTTCTGAGTACACAGTTATTCAAAGAAAAATGCGGAATGTATTTTGATATACTTATGTGACCATGCATGACCTTGTACAACGTAGAGAAAACCACCCATAAGTGAAACGAATTCGAAGTGCACTTTTCATACGCTGTAAGCCAACTGTGAAGCCTCTACGCCATCCAGTGATGGAATGAACAATGTTGAAATCAGTCAAAAGTTCGAAACGTCGAAAAGAGACGGAATTTTTGAATGACCCTCAGCAAGCACGTAGAAACCAGTCGTATCAACTTTTTGTGAATTTCAATGTTGACGTTACTTTGGTTTCATTCGTTTCGCTAAATAGACTGTGACCCAATGCTGGGAGAAATAACATGCAGACCAACAAAACACCTCTTGAATGTGGTTACATAAAAAACGACAACGTGATGGAAATAAGGACAAATGCATTCATACAAAACCATAATGAAACGAGGAACACACTAACCCCTGTGGTAAGGGACCCACAATCCTCACACCAAACCTCTGGTTCAACTGAGCAAAGTGAGATATTGTCGTGGCCAAAATAAGCTGGATAAAGGGAATTAATGACAGTTAGTTAGTATCACGAGAAGCACAACAACGGTGATAGATACTGGTAATTAATTGCCATAAAACGATCGAGGTACAAGAATTCGTGAGGAGCAAAAAGAGGGGTCGGGAATCATCAAGCAAAACTTCATGCTGATGGCAGTTAAACCTTGGGACAGCACGAAAACACGTTCAGACATCATGTTACGATGAGGCACCGTGCGTCTCTTGCAACCCCTTCCCAACATAAAAGCAACGTACAACGAGGAACAGACTTTAGCTGGCTAACCAGGCTAGGAAAGGACTGCATGCTGGCACCTCACATAAAAACCAACGTTATGCAGTGCAGTCCTTTTTGTCTGACTTAGCACACATTTGCAAATTCGTCCGAAAACTAACGAACAGTCAGATAATTGTTCCCACCGTTTCATGCTTCCCATGGACGAAGAGGAGGGTTTGAAGTTATTATGAGTGATAAGTGTAAGTCAGAAATCGTCCGTCTTGAAAAAGACGTTTAAATAAGCCTTTTGCCCTGAGGTTAGACCCATCGAGTAAATGCAACACAACTCGGTAATCTGATATTTAGGAAGGAACTCCATTCAACCTGTGTTTGTTTGTTTTCATAGAGGAAACTACTCACAAGTTTGCTGAAAACTCTTCTACAGCTCACGACCGGTTTCGCCCTTCCTGGGGCTCATCAGGTAGGCGCAGTCCCCGAGTTTCCGTTAACCTTATGTTCTACTTGGTTTTGTAGGTACACTGAAATTTTTAGGAACCTGAATACCAGTCAATGGACAAATAATCGCTTCCGAATACACACGACGCTCGTCGCATTTAGGCAGGTGCAGCCACAGTCCATCAGTGGCAGTTCATTCAAAAACCATGTGATAAAAGGGGTAAAATCAAAGCTATTTTGTCTGCATGAAGTCGAGCAAGCAGTACGGATGGAGGGAAGCTAATAAAACTCCGTGAAACGATTAGGTAGCATGAACAAACAACAAAAATGGGATAACGATAATTTATGTTTTCAATGGGATTTTAATTGGTGGTGTGAAATGCCCAGCACGACAGAGAACACAGAGTAGTGTTAGGGCGGCCGTTGGTTTGGCTTCCTAGGAGGCGTGCCCAATCGGGTTTGAAGAATGGAGAGGTAGAAATGAGCACTGCTTTCAACAAGCACGGAAGAATACAAAATACAGTCACCTAGCTCAGACCAATAAGCTAGGAGTAGATGAGTGTAGAATAGTTACCGGTGACTGAAAAGTCATACCAGAGCCGGAAGTATTCAAACAAGATTTAAAAAAACACAAGCTAATTTAAAGTGACTGACACATTGTCAAACAAACAGCATCAGGTACCAGACATCAACAGCACACTCACAGCATTCCAAATGAAGAACCCGGTGCGGCAGCTAGACTCCGTGGATGAATCATACATATGATATGTGGAATGATCACTACGAGATAGCTCTAATGGAACTGGTCATTGGGACGTAACTACAGTGAGTATATACCGTTTGAGAACTAATTCGAAAAAATACTAGGGGAGGCAATTTTTAAACAATTTAACACCCTAAACCATGCACGTAACAATAACTCCTGATCAAAATAAACTCAGTTAGAAACCACAAAGCAGTAGCTACATCGCTGCTCAGCATGAGGGTCATTCACATATCTAACGTATCAAACTTCATTGCGGTTGAAATGCTGCAGGGAAAGTAAATTATTTTGAAACAGCTCATTCTTGAGACAGCGGTGGTGCACTAGTTGAATCAGACAATCACCAAACCGCTATTCCCACACACCAGACGATTCATCCTACCAGACACACTGGAATCCTCCCTTGAAACTCCAAACTAACCAACAAATGACAATCTGTAAAATCCTTAGGATGGTTAGGTTGCTCCTGAGTCAGATAGGAAGCGTTTGTAGCAACAGACAAGAAAACACAGATAAATGATGCTGCATTTTGAGAACAACAAATAAAATACCTGAGTAGATTTCGGAATCTAACAATAAACAACGGAACCACATGCCGCCAA